TGCCCCTTCTGAGTCTTTGGAGAACCCCAGAGTTATGCTCTCTGAAGACATAAGCAAGTGTAAACCTAGCACAATTTAGAGTCAGGGTACAATACGAGAAAGGAGACTTTAGGTGAAATCATCCAGACCAGTGGACCTGAAACCCGTTTGTGTGCTGTGCTTCCAGCTCACTGTCAGCTGGGTTTAGAAACAGGATAGGAGATGTTTCACTGAAAGATCTGATTAGTCTTAGAGAAAAATGTAATAGTATCTATGAGTAGGTTCTGTCAGAAGGCTCCCATTGGAGTATGTGACTTGGCTAACACACAATGTACACCAAAGTTCCAGTCTGTCTAGGACTTCCTCCCTTTGGAATGTGGAGAGACAGATGGAGGAATGGAAAGAACAAATCAAACACAAAACAAAAGCAGAAGAAACAGTCATAATCCAGAAAGCAGAAGAAATTTTTCAAAAGAGTGAAGGTCCTCAGAAGGCCCAGATACTACATTTATGTGTTGAGGGCAGGATGCTATTGAAGAAAAAATAGTTCATATGTAGATGAAACAGCTTTTGTCTTACACGTCTACAATAAAATTCTCTGAGAAAGATTTCAGTATGAAATTATGTTGAAATCTCTACAAAGCAATGAAAAACAGGAGAGATATAATGATAAACTAAAGTTAGTCTAAGAGGGCTGATATTTATAAAATAGAGCTTCCCGAAAAAAAACAAGGGACATTAATTTTCAAAAGAATAGGAAAGTTCTCAGAACAAGGGTATGAGTTTCCAGCATGGTTTATCAGGCAGAGAGCTCATTATAATGAATTTTTAAAAATCTGACACTAAGGCATACCATTATGACATTTCAAAGTATTAGAGGAAAAAAAGTCCAGAGATTCCCAGAAAGGAGAAGCCAGGTAATTTGCAAAGAACTAAGGAATATAACTCTGGGAACATGAATATACAATGAAGCAGCTATTTTAAGATGACTTGCAAATTTGAATTCTTTATTCTGTAAAACCGCAAAGAGCTGTTCTCATAGGCAATATCTTGAGAATTTTTTTCAGTTTATTATTTATTTAATAACCACATACTTAGAAGAAGCATTTCATTACAACAGCATTGACATAACAATAACAATTTTCTGAGCTAAGATGCATCTTTTTCAAAATTGGCTGTAAATTTTTAGGTTTATAGGTGAATTGTTACAGTTATACAATATTTTACTCAGTATAAACCCTATAAGACATAAAATTAAATGAGGTTTTAACCTTTTAAAAAGATCTCTATTTGATTATTAAAATACACAGTTTCATACAGAAAACTTCATTTTTAACACAATTAACACTAAGGTGTTTGCACATGCATTTCTAATCTCTATATATCTGATTATTACTAGTCACAGTCGATTACTTTCTGAGCTCCTTGGCATCTGAGCATGGATATAAAGTTGTCAGGTAGATTTCAACAGTAATGTTTTTCATATCTACTAATTATTAAAGAGAAAATTTTTACGTTTTGAAGAATTATTATTTTTTTAATCTTTTTTTAAACTTTTAATAATTACATGATTAGAAGAAGCATATCATTACAGCTTTAACATATTCAGTAACACACACCAGAGCAAGAGTACATCTCTTTCACAAGTGGGTGCAAGTTT